CGTAACCAATCATGCTAAAGCGCCCTTACAGTATGTAATATATCCAACATGATTAAAAGTATCTTGTTTATGCATAATATATTTGCTTAAGAAAAAACAAATTAAAAACACCAATATTACTCACAAAACCAAAGCATTTCTCTTACCAATAATACATCTGCCTACAACAAGAAAGTATCAAAAACTCTTGAAACAATCAACAAAGCCAAAACATCCCTCTTAATCATGATGTATTTAACTTATAATAAAAAAATCCAAAACATATCCCTTTTTGAGTGTGATGCATCAATCTTAGGATAAGAAAATATTAGAAACATCTAACATGAGTTATCAAGTGAAGGCATATGTCTCTTGTTTGTAATATGGATAACTCAAATATCAAATATCAAGTCTAATCAATATCTATTAGATATTGCTAGGACATGTTATATCAACTATCATTCATCGTGACCTCTTCATAAATGATGAAATAATAGAAGATAAGAATAATTATTGAAGAAGTGAAAAGGCTTAAATATATTAATATGTCCATCTCCTATTTATACAGATTAAGAGGAAAGATTTCATCAACAGAATAGAAGATTTTCCTCATCAAAATTGGAGAAATCTTATTTTCTATCAATATATGCATTTATTTTGAATCGAAGCTAAAAAAAGTTAGCACTTAAACTACTTGACCCTCAAGAGATGTAATTGGATAAACTCAACGTGATCTTTTGTAAGAACTAAAAAGATTATATGAGATATAAGATACATGCATTTTTGTACCTTGAGAAATCTTACTCAGGTTGACGATCAAAATTGAGCATATGAATACTTTATATGTTTTATAAAGTATTTTGATGCTAACTAAAATTTTAATTAATAGATTAATTAATGATCAAATGATGCACATTAACTATAAGAACTATATGCAATCTCTTTTCTCTTTTTCTCAAAGCCATGTTGAAGATAAAAATAAAGGGTCGACCAGTAATAAATGAATTCAACCTTGAGGTGGGCAACAACATAAGGACTTGCTATGTTCTTCCATCGGTAAAAATGAATCAGTATGGAACAACATAGCAACCATTCTCTCTGCTCTCTTTGTTCTTTTTCTATTTTTTCTGTTCTTCTCTCATTGCAGAGCTCGCATGGTGGGGGGAGTTGATGGAAGAAGAGGTTTATTGTCTCTCCAAAGTGAATAACAAGCAAGCTGGCCAAGTAGAATGCAAAGAACCTACATAGGTTGGAGGGTAAACTGGCAAAGCTCCATTTTGTCACCAACAAGCAGGTAAGTTGTACTTATCTTTCACATTTAAGACAATATTTGTTTCTCATATATGTTGTGATGCTTTCAATACATGTGCTATTTTTGAGACTGAGACTAACTTGGTAGAATAACAAGTTCTTCATTGGTCATTGCAAGATCCCAAAGAGCAACAACTGTTTACATGATTCCAAAACAAGCAGTTCTAGGTTTTGGCAGAATCACTGACAGAAGCCTCTGCAGCCTGGCAAATGAGCCCCAGGAGGCTCCCAGCTTTCCTCTTGGCCCTTTCTGTGCCAGTCTCAACAAGCTCTTTTAACACCTCTTCTGCTCCCCCCTCCTTTGCAGCCTCAAGGTTCTCTTCAACACCACTGCACAATGAAAACAACAGCGCGGCAGCGTTCTCGCGAACCTGCGCTGATCCGGTCTTCATTAGCTTTAGCAAAACTGGAGTAGGGTCTGAATGTGCGATCGCCACCTTGCCTTCTTGAATACTTGCAAGAATTGCCAGTACGGCTAGTGCTTCATCGACCAGACTAGCACCAGGATCGTCCAGCATCGTCATCAAGTGTACCACGATACCGGCTTGCAGTGCGACAACCTTGTTACCAGGATAAAGGCAGAGATTAAATATCGCAGTGGCCGCGTCTTTCTTGCCTCTTGGACTGCCTTGGCACAGCAGACTGATAAGTGCAGGTATAGCCCCAGCTTCCCCTATGAGGGCTTTGTTTTGATCTACAGTTGACAAACTAAAAAGAGTAGCGGCAGCATTCTCCCTTGCTTCCATACTCTCGCTTTCAAGCACCTTTACTATCTCGGGTATTGCCTTCTCTTTTACAATGATACCCTTGTTATCGCTATTTATCGAAAGGTTAAGAAGTGCTGTAACTGCATGCTCTTGTGTTCTTGGATCTGGAGATGAAAGGAGTTGTTTGAGTAAGGGGATTGCACCTGCTTCAGCGATAGATATTCTATTGTCCGCATTTCTTTTTGCTAGTAATCGGAGTTCGCCAGCAGCTGCTCTTTGCGCTTCTTGGTTTCCATTTGCCAACTTCTGCAGTAGTATGTTGATCCCATCACGACTAATATCAGAATTGTTTGCTGGCTTCCTATCTTGGTGACCACCTTGCGTTTTGGGCAGTTCGATGCCATTGGCATCACACCATTGTGCAATTAAGCTCTTCAAAACGAAATTTGGGGTGACAGCAGTGTGGGATAGGTATTGTTGCGTCTTGGGGCAGGTCTTGTGTCCACTGTCGAGCCACTTCTGGATGTAAGATCTTTCATATGTCTGCACAAATAATCACATTACTAGGTTATCAGAAAAGGTTAAAACAGAGTCCAAGTTTATTCCCGATTACTTGTCCTGTGGAGACGATGACGGGATCCTTCATCAGCTCAAGAGAAAGTGGACACCGGAAATCATCTGGGATCACCGGAGATCTATGCTTTGCAAAGCTAGTTTTCCTTTCAATGCTGGCAGAAGTTGGATCCTCCAAGAGTGAACAATCTTTAAGCTTCTTCAGCAGTGACGACATTTCCTCCACAGAGACATCAGGCTCCCCAACACTTGAAATTACCATTTCGTGCAGAGCAACTGACTCCTTCATAATGTCATTCTTATTTTTGAGTTGAAGCTTCTCGGATATTCTCTTGAGGATGGTAGGATCACAGTGACCTTCATTTAATGCTCTATTTAAATCTCTGCTAAGTTGTAAATCACGTAAGTCCATACTTTCTTTAGCTCTATGAAGCTGAGCATGCAATAGCTCAATCTGCAAATGTTAAGTAATTAGTTCTTATCCATGCACATTAATGAATGAATTTTCAGAGACAGAGAACAAGAATACTCAATTTATAAGGCTTTTCATCAATTGGAATGCGATGTGCCTTTTTCATAGAAGATGGGAAAGGAAAAGTGATAGAAGAGGCCAACTGACCTACACAAGCAACATGCACCAAAATGTCCTTAACTTTTTAAGTGTCTTGTGTTCGATACACTTAACAAAGTCTTTTGTAGATATAATTTGTTTGTCGTTTGGCATTTTTGTTGTTTTGACTATATTTTTCCGTTAGTGGAGCCTCGTGCATGTGGGCCGCCCTTTTTAGTTTTCTTGTTGTTTTGTGTTTCTCTTCAAAGAATTCTAGAGTGAGGATATCCATCATGAATTCTATTTTCAGTAATAATTATAAAACCTATCAACACTTACAAGGAAAAACACTTTTTACGAATCATATCATGTACCAAAGTGATTTAAGATGCAAACATATCGGATTTGAGATGCTAAACTGATATCATAGTTCCATCAGAGCATAGTGATCCTGGTAAAAATGATACCAAAACCAATTAGTGTCTGAGTCACCATAATCAAGATGACTTAAACATAGTGCTTGTAAGATTTAACACCAATATAACAATTTTTTGGTAGTTTATGTGGAAGGACATTTAAAGAGAAAGAGAAGATTCAATTTAATGAATTGTATTAGCAACGAGGGGAAGGAAATCCAAGTAGCAGTCAGCATGAAACTTAGATTTTGCCAGTTAGCATCCATCATTGACCGAAACATCAACTCTACGACCAACAGCTTGATTAACTACTAACTGGAGAAAAATACATATTGCTATGTCAAATTGATAACATGCACTTAAGCTTAATTCTTATAAGATGGATGTCCTAATATATGACCGCATAAGCAAGTCGATTAACAAAATCCAGGATTTTATGTTTGCCCGAAAGGATCAAGTAAGTGGTTGTTCATCTTACCTGCTCTTTAACTTCATCAGATACATTAAGCTTGTCCAAGCTAATCTCACCGAGTGCCTCCTCAATAGATTCAGTTGCCTTAAGGAACAGCCGTTGAAATTTTTGTGGCCGCAAAACCTGTCGACAACAAATCAAGGGGATTAAAGTGTGATGTTGATAATGTTAAGATCTATAAGTTTGAGCCAATATGGTGAAGATTAACATAAATGAGATTGAATACCCAATTCAACCCAAAAGGCTTAAGCTTACTAAGCCGTAGGTCAAACCCAATATATCTTTCCCGACTCTCTTTCAATAGTTAGTCATCTCCGAGACACAAATATTCTCTTAACATATAAATGTTTTTAAAAGAAGTTGAGAAAAAAAGGAATAATTTATGTCTACAAATCAAAAGATGTTAGATTTCACCCATTGATATCATAATTGGGGATAAACCTTACAACAAATTCAACACACTGGCAATTGGGGTTTGGAGGCGATTGCGGTCACCTGATACAGCCTGCTCCCATCGTTCACGGATCGGAGGGTCTCCTTGGCCCCAGCGAGGGCGGCGTAGAGCGACTCGAGGCCGCGGAGCTCGGCCGGCCCGAGAGAGACGGCGTCGTCCCTCAGCTCGTCAAAAAGCGGGGCGAGGAGCTTAACCCGCCGCGCGAGGTCGCAGCACATCTGCCGCAGCGGCCCGCGACTCTCCGGCAGAGCGGACACCTCCGCCACCACCTGTAGCAGGGTTTCCGCCACCGCGCCCCCGGCTCCGCCGCTCATCTCCGTCTCTTTCTCCTCCTCCTCCTCCTTCTCCTGTGCTGCTGTCGGCCCCATGTTCGACGATAGAAGAGGATCTCGAGATGGAGCAAGAGCCAAGTAGAACCGCAGAAAACTATCGAGGCAAATGGTGGGCGGAGCGGCTGCTACATCTCCATGGCTGACTATTTTGATGCATTCCAACCACAATACTTTTCTTCATCTTATTATCGAACATTAGTATCATGTTTATGACAATCATTATGGCTAATTTGGTATAAAACCCACAAAAATCAACATCGCCTTAAGCCCACGATCGTTGACTAACTACACAGATCCCCTCCTGGTTGACTGATTCGACGTCTACTGCTGACTTCATATACAGCGTTGCCCGTTCTGTTTGACTTTTCCGCTGAAGATTTCAAGCTCCAGCGTGATCTGTTTGAACCAGTTATTCATCGTCACAAAAAAATCATGGAGGATTCACATCGATTACAGTAATTGGCATGACTATTTGAAGTTCCGAGCCATGGAAGATGGATGGCTACGGTTCTCGTACAGATTCAGTCACAGTCACTGTGGTAGCTCTCTAATAATTCTCTCTAACTCGCTGGGCCGGCAGGGGATGGCGATGGCGCCCTCATGCCGGAAGCCGAACTCCTCCTCCGCCAGCTCCAACAGCCTCAGGAACACCGGGTTGGAGAGGCAGCGCAGTGAGACCACGAACCTCCGGCGCTGCTCGTCCCACACCGCCACCACCGCAAACTGGCCCTCCTTCACGTCCTGCGGCACCGCCGCCGCATCGGCCTCCTGCAGTTTCAGGCTTCGACCCGGTAGGCTGCTGCCGAGGTGATCGCTCCTGGAGCAAGACAAGCTCCGCTGCAGCACCTTGGCCGCGCGCTTGAGGACGCCGTTGCTGCTCCCCATGAACTTGGCCTTGGCCACGCCTGCCTTGAACATGCTCTCCGATGCCGGGTATATAAATAGCTGCTGCGATAGGGAGCACGAAAGCAATGGGTCTGCTGTGTTCATGCATGGTTTGCTGTTCTCAGTTAACTGGCAAGAGCAGGGCCGTTTGCTGTTCCGACTATTTGCATATTGTTGGGACATTACATTACGGCTTCTTGTCGTCGTCGTTCTCGGAATGTAGCAAACTTGCTGCCGGAGGGAAACAGGCCTAACTTAGATTCAAGTCAGATCTACAAGTGTGATGTGGACTTGTGAGTCCATGTTTGCCACAGCCAGTAGGATGCTAAAGCTTATCATGCGATCTAAGAGGAATCAGAGGACACTGATCCTGTACTGGGAGTTTCTCACGAGTGATCATTCGTGTTCTCGGTAGAACTGCAAGGATGATTGAAGTATACTGTGATGTGAAGGTGAAAGAGAAGCGTCCAGAGGACGGATCATGTTGGATTTTTATAGATATAACATGTCGTCCACATAAACCAAACAGTGTCATTTCTGCCTCCTTTGCTTCCTCTGTCATCGGATGAACGCCTTTTCCTGTTAATTGGGTGAACGTGCAGTGATGTGTGTCAAGATTTAAATTATTATTTAAATAAATTGATTAGATAAAATTTTAAATTTTTTATTTTTAAATAAATTGATTAGATAAAATTTTAGAGATAAAAATATTTTAATTTAATTTATTATTTTATACTTATAAATATATGATATCTATATGTATAGATTCATCAAAGTCTTTAAGTGGTTACATATGTAGAACTCTAGTCAAAGATTACCAAGTCAAATAGTAATAATTTGTTACTACTATGAGAAAGGATTATACTGTAATTTTTGTATTTTAAGACTTTTGTGTGAAGAAGATAACTTTCTTTTTTACTATGGATTGATCGGTAGATTTGATATTAAACTTATTAATTAGTCTAACTAGAAGATTTGTTTGGAACTAATATGTTATATATACCATTGATCGGTGAGTCGACTCGATTGGTTCCCAATTGAAGGTGTAGATGCATCTTGATGTCTCCTTACTGATGTGGGGTATTGATGTGGCGAGCTAAATAGAGGAATGGAGGTCTTCCTTGCTACGAGATCATCGCCTGACTATTAGTTATCTCCTGCCCACTAGTGGTCCTGCACAACAGGTATATGCTTGGGGCTTCTCGACTTGATCATTTGGATGCTTAAGTCAACACAAGATAGAGAGGGGGGGCGAGAGGCGACGAGAGAGAGAGAGAGAGAGAACGGTATAAGCTATATAATAAAATGAGTGGAGAGCCCCCCTTCTTCAGCGTAAGCTATAAGTGGCTTTTAATTATACCTAGGCACTTGGTTAGGTTGACTGATCTACGTATTGGTTAATCGAAGATAAGATCAGGTTAATTGACAGATCATGATAGCAAAAATCTTTCTATATCCTCTTGTCCTCTAATCCTAGTGAGGCGAGGGAGTTAAGGCGAGCGACTTGCCGATGTGATGCACTCGAAGAACTATCGCGACTATCGCCCTGTAGTCAAACTCCCTTCTTTTTGTATAACCAGGGAATGGTCTTCTCGTCCTTCATCTGACAGGAAGGATTATTAAGACTGTGTCATACTGCTAGCTATTAATGTGGGGCAGATTCGGGCGTGCTCATGACATGGCATCGTCAAGGAGTTGATGACTCAAAGTCCTACTTAGGTGTCTACTTCTATGGCGAATGAGATAGGATTTTCCATATCAGAAATCCTATCTCATTGTGGAGGATCCATCTGTTGTGGTTGGTGGCAATACAACAATAATACCATATGCTTGCATACGGAGACGCCATAAAGAGATAGAGGGCATAAAATACAAAAGCTGAACTTGCATTAAAGAGATCTATCTCTCATGATCTCTTAGAACATATTATTGGTTGCAAATCAACTTCAGAGTTTTGGATCATTCTTATTGCATTGCTCAACAAGAAAAATATCACTCAGTTTTAATATTTGAAAAATGATTTTACAAATACTATCTAAGGTGATCTTTTAATTTCTTAAGTTTTTTAAAAATTAAAAATTCATATTCAAAGATATCATTTTTAGATCCAGTCTATTTCTTATGCATGATTAAAATGTTATATTTTCAGTCTTTGAAAAAAATATATTTCTTATATTATATCTATTCAATGATGGATTCAATAACCATCTTTAGTAGAGTTGAAAAATCTTTTTGCTTCTTAGGAATTCTTAACTCGTCAAATAATTAGTCTTTATTTTAAGAGTAGATGAAAATGCTCTTTTTATAAATAAAAAAAAAGAGTACTGATAAAGATAAAAAAAAATAATGCTAACAACAAGCCAAAGTTTTCATTGAACAATGGAATAAATCAAAAGAAGATCAAATGTGATAGGTGTCACAAGTTAAGCCATATAAAAAAAAATATTATGTTAAGATTAAAGGAGAAAATATTTTAAATAAAAAAGATTGTTTCAATGTTACTGATGAAAATTGAGACAAATGCTTTATGATTAAAACTACTATAGTGGAGATTATGACATTCATCAATTTCTAATATGATTAAATAATTGATTCAAGATATATAAAATTCATAAATCTTTGTCAATATACATGTAATAAT